TTATAGCAGATAACATCCGATCGCATTTAGAGAAAAGTAAATTATTCTACGACTCTCAACATGGGTTTACAAAGGGAAAATCTTGTCGAACAAATCTGCAAACGTTTTTTAGGAAAGTCTTCGAGGTTGTAGATAAAGACGAAAATTACGATGTTACTTACTTAGACTTTAGCAAAGCATTTGACAGAGTACCGCATCAGAGGCTTCTGAGAAAAATTAAGGCTTATGGTATCGAGGGGAAGTTTTAGATTGGATAAAATCATGGCTCACCGATAGAACGCAGAGGGTCAGCGTAGATGGTGTTAAATCTGAGTGGGGTCGTGTAACCAGTGGGGTTACCCAGGGGTCAGTACTAGGCCCACTCTTGTTCATAATCTACATAAACGATCTAGATACTGGGATCAGCAGTAACATAAGCAAGTTTGCGGCTGACACCAAAATAGGGCGGCAGATTAATTCAGGGCAGGATGCAAATGCATTACAGGAGGATCTAAATAAACTGCAGGGGTGGTCTGAAAAATGGCAAATGAAATTCAACACCAGCAAGTGCAGCGTACTTAATATTGGAAGAACATATACTGTCAATGTATACAGCCTTAACAACATCAACCTAGAGAAGTCGACTTGTGAAAGAGACCTAGGTGATACTTGTAAGCCCGAACCTACGGCCTAGAAAACAATGCGTTAATGTTTGAAATAAGGCAAACAGAGTATTGGGTTATATATCTAGAAGTGTAAGTAATAAGAGTGCAGAGGTCTTATTAAAACTATATCTTGCGCTAGTTAGGCCGCACCTCGATTATGCGGTTCAGTTCTGGTGCCCTTATTATAGAATAGATATCAATTCACTAGAGTCGGTGCAGCGAAGAATGACGAAAATTATTCCGGGACTTAGAAACCTTCCATATCAGGATAGGTTAATGAAACTAAACTTGCATTCCCTAGAAAGACGAAGAGTGCAGGGAGATATGATAGAAGTATTCAAGTGGGTGAAAGGAATCAATAAAGGTGATATAGATAAAGTTATTATAATATCCGAGCAGGATAGGACTCGGAACAACGGATTCAAGTTGGATAAGTTTAGGTTTAGGAGGGAGATAGGAAGAAATTGGTTCACAAATAGGGTGGTGGACGAGTGGAACAAGCATAGCAACTTTGAGGTAAGTGCTGGAATGCAGGAAAGTTTCAAAGGGAGGCTGGATAGATTCATGGATGATAGAGAGTGGTAGTAACTCTCGACAGGAGCTGCCATACACAGGCCAACCGGCCTATTGCAGACTCCTTATTTTCTTATGTTCTTATATTAACTTGAGTCATATGTGTAGTAGATGATTTAACCCTTTGACAATGATGATTTAACCCTTTGAATATGATAATTTAACCCTTTGAGTATGATGATTTAACCCCTTTGAGTATGATGATTTAACCCTTTAAAAACATAAGAACATAAAAATGGAGGAAACTGCAGAGGGCCTATTGGCCCATACTGGGCAGTCCCATTTAACCGCTGGAGTATGATGACTTTACCCCGAGTACGACGATTTAACCCCTTGAGTACGATGATTTTACGCCCTGAGTACCACGACTATCCCTGAGTACGATGACTTGACCCCTTGAGTACCATGACTTGACCCCGCATCCACTTGACCACCACTACCAGGCAAGAGCTGTGTCATATCCTCTTTAAATGATGTCACACGAGGCATAAATACGCATATGACGTCATTCAATACGTCACATCTCCTCAATGACGTAACAGAAGGTAAGGTCAAGGACACAAGAAGAGGAAAAATATGACGCAATTCATGACGTCACATCATCAATGGACAGAATGTGACCAGACGTAATAGGGGGGGAGAGGATGTGACGTCAGCCATCTCGTCAAGCCCAGCCAAGTGTGAGACAGACAGACAGACAGTCGGGGGTCTCCCTCCTGTCGCGTGACGTCACCCACCCACATTACTCATAAAGGGTTAAATATAAAAAAATATAAAACCCACGCGAATGAGGGCATGGAGCCTCCTGATAGGTCCCCGTGTACAATGACGTTCACCACCGCCCCCTCTCATTGGTCACACGTGGGTTAGTAGTTAGTTCGCGAGTGTAAGTGTATCTGTGATGTGTGAGTGAGTCAGTGAGTGTGAGTCAGTGAGTGTGCGTGAGTCAGTGAGTGTGAGAGAGTGCGAGTGGATCATTGACAGACAAGGACCAATCAACACACATTACACCCGCATAAAAGTGGATTTTTGCCAAGCTCCTTCACACACACACACACCATAACAAGAGTGCCAGGTCCCCTCCACCTCGCCTGGGTGGCACATCATGGACCCCAGAGTGCCATCCTAGGCACTATTAACTCACCAGATTAACCCGCCATAGTGTTGACACAGCCTGACACACACACACAGAGTTAACCATCCTCGTTCATAGGTGTGTGTGTGTGTGTGATGGTTAATTATCTACGGTCCAAGAATGCTACTTAAAATACACTTAAATGCCCAAAAGTTACTGGTATGCTACTTAAAACATATTTAAATGCCCTAAAGTTACTGGTATGCTACTTAAAACACTTAATTGCCCTAAAGTTACTGGTATGCCACTTAAAACACACTTAAATGCCCTTAAGTTACTGGTATGCCACTTAAAACACTTAATTGCCCTAAATATACTGGTATGCTACTTAAAACACTTAATTGCCCTAAAGTTACTGGTATGCCACTTAAAACACTTAATTGCCCTAAAGATACTGGTATGTTACTTAACCATCCCCAACCCCTCGTTAAGGAGATCCCACTAGAGCCCTGACACTCACAACCCGCTAACGACCATTCCTGTGCGCGATGGGGTAGTTACGCCCCCCGGTGGTTTACGAGCCTTATTTTGCTAGAGAGAAAGACGAGAAAAGAGAAAGAAAAAAGAATGAAGAAAGAGAATGGGCAGAGAAAATATGAAAGACAAGAGACAAATTTAAAAGAGTAAAAGCAAGAGAGAGAGAGAGAGAGAGCTGACATTTTCTCAACTAATATACAGTTACATCCCCCCCCCCCTGTCAGACTAGCTGCATCAAACTTAAAAAAAATAAATAAAAAAAACCTTGCCGTCGCCTCGTCTACACCTGACCAGATTACGACCAAACAGCTGATTACTTAACGGCTTACCTGGGAAACAACCACCCCAGCTTATCTCACCTAAAGATTAACCACACCGTGACTTAACCTCACCTGAAGCTTATCCACACCCTGACTTAACCTCACCTGAAGATTAACTACCTATTTGAAAGAGAGAGTGAGGTTAAATTAGGTCAGGTCAGGGTGATTAATCTTCAGGTGAGGTTAGGACAGCATTGGAGTGGTTAATCTCCAGGTGATTATCTCTCAACCTATTGTAACCTCACCTGACATTAATCCCTAACCCCTCACACTCACCAGGTATCTTAATTAATCACCAGGTGTAACAAGCTGGGGGGGAGAACCTAACCTAACCGCTCGTATTGTCAGACAAATGTTGTTTATTAAGGAGAAAATGTCGCTTATAGGTTATTAATTCCAGCTAAATATCAGAGAGAGAGAGAGAGAGAGAGAGAGAGAGAGATAATATACGATGAAAGAGGAAAAGAAAAAGACATATGAGAGAGAGAAAGAGAGAGGGGCACACATGGACGAACACGCATAAATGTGAGAGATCGAGAGGAAAGGTCAGATCAACGTAGACAAAGGCGCCCCCTCCCCCTCACCCCCCTCCTTCACGAGCCGCTACTGTTACCACGCCCTCGTTACCATTACACAAAGACCGAATTATTGTTACGCTCGATCTGGGAATAACGGAGGGTGTGGGAGAAGGGGGAGGGAGTGGTTGGGGGAGAAGAGGGAGGGAATGAAGGGGAGGGGGGTGGTTGTGGGAAAATGGGATGGGGGGTGTGTGATTGGGGGGATGTGAACCACGGTATCATAACAAAATTGACAGACACACACACATACATATACCCACCCAAACACACACACACACCCTCCCCCAAAACACACACACCTTGTCTACACCACAAACCCTTCCCTTATCATTCCTCTAGTTATCACGTGTTATCATCATCCTCCTCCCCCATCTTATCAATCAAGCCCTTAAATTATAATCCCTGTCAACAGTAAATTCATCCGACCACTTAAAAATTCCTCCTCCGTGGCTACTTAAAATCCTTTAAATGTATCCCTAGCAAATCTAAACCTCTAGAATTAACCCCTGACCACTTATAAGTCCCCAAAATTCACCCCTGACCACTTAAAAATACCTAAAATTCCCCTAACCACTTAAAAATCCCTAGAATTCACCATGACCCGAATACACAACTAGCAAGGATTACCATATTAAACTAAAGTCCCTTTCCCCCATAAACAATTAAAAGTAGCCCCCCACCCAAAAAACCCCAATAATAACAATAAAACAAATAAATAAGAATAAAGTTGAGTCCATCTTTCAGTACTACTGATAATAATAAAAATGGGGAAATTCCTAAACAAATAAATATACTCTCAAAAATTAAATACATAAAATTCTCCTTTCACTCAACACAAATAAAATAATTCTAATACATGACCCCACTTCTTAATTACGTCAGGTCAGGTCAGGGTGGGATGGTTCGTGTCCACTTAAAGTATAATACAAATCCCAACACTGATCTGACCCCCCATCTGACCTGACCTACCCGTGGTCAGGTGTGGTTTGTTAGGTCAGGTTCGGTACACATAGCAACCTGTTACTGGATTTTTTTTGTTTGAGAAGTATAACACGAGGATATAGATTCAACCCTCAGTACTTGTTTTCACCTGAAGATTAACCACCCTGTGAATGAAATAAGCGAGAGAGAGAGAGAGAGATAATAAAGTGATAGAAAGGAATGAGAAAATATAAAAGACGAAAAAGGAGAGAGAGAGAGATAACGCAATCTTCAGGTGATCCCCCCAATAAAACTAATCACCGCGTCAAAAGAAACAAGAACCAACACATACCTTAAGTCTGTTGATTTCCATCTTGAGGGCGGCGATCTCCTGCTTCTTGTACTCGGCATTCTTCACCAGGTCGGATACGGTCTTCTCCAGCTGCGCCTTCTCCGGGAAAGACACGACGCTGGAGGTGGAGGAGGTGGGCGAGGTGGGCTGAGGGTGGTCTGGTGGCTGGGTGGGCTGGGGAGGCACCATGGTTCGGGCCGGCGGTAGAGGAGTAATGGCAGAAGCAGCGCCCATGTTTTCCTTCCCTTTGGCTTCCATCTTCTTGCTGTGTGATTTGCTACTTGACTGTTGCTTCTTCTCCTCCTTCAGCGTGGGGAGAGGTTGCATGTCAGGAGTGGCCGAGGACGAGGTCGACGACTTCTTGGACGACGACGAGGAGGAGGAGGAGCCCTTCTGGTGATCCTTGAGGGCGTGGTCCTTAACCTTATCGCCGGCAGCAGTGTTGGCGGCGCCCTTGGAACCGTGGTGGCTGCTAGACCCACCGTGGTCCTTGGACATCCTACGGAACAAGGATTTGAACCTGAGAGACATTGTGTTTGTTGGTGAGGAAAGTCACTTGAATATGAAACAAGAGTGAGGTAAAGGAGGCGCCTCTTAGACACAGGTACGAGGGCTAGAGTGTGTCATGCTGTGCCCCTGCCTCAACCTGTTGCTGGCCCGTGGTCATCCGGCTGTCACTCATTACCTGCACACCTACCAGGGCTTCGTGACACCACCACCTCACCTCCTGGTAACATGTTCATACACCCAACACAGTAATACACTTCACTACAGTACACACACACGTATAAGTTCTATCTGTCGCAACACTTTTAAGGTAGATTTTTTTTCACCCTATAAGATGAGTAAGACCGGTGAAGGAGGGAGGGCGTGAGTGGCCGTCCAGGTGAAGGAGTGCGTGAGGGAGGGAGGGAGGGAGGGAAGCGAGGAACCAACCCGTCCACGGAAGACACCAACACAACACTGCTCGCCGCTTATCGTGGGAACTCCGCTAAATAATCGCCGTCACTATCACACCCCCGTCTATCTCTATCTCTATCTCAGGTCATCACGTGTGTCGTTTCAACTTTCAGATAACCTCTTCTATTACATCAACAAATGTCACCAAACACTCCCCCAATTTTGACTTCTTTCCACGTGACGTCGATCTTTTAAAAGTCTTCGTTCGTTCAGTAAAAATTTAAAGTGACTGTTATTGGGTCAATCGAATGCGTCTGCCAATATAAGAGAACTTTTAAATGGATCTTTAATCGGCGCCACCTAACCAAAATCCATGACGTTGATGAGTGACACGTTCTGCACCACACTGAAGCTACCTCGCCACTGACGACCAAAACAATTTGCAGGGAGCCTTCCTCTCTAACTGGTAACGGAGACTTGCGTTACCAGTTACCCTAATATAACACCGCCCTCTCCTATAAACTAACAATAAAAATAACCCTCAAATATCCCTAACAAACTAACCTAAATATATATCCAAAACTAATAAAATATATAAAAAAAATCACAAATAACTCCAAAATAAGGGAATAAAAGTTGGAGTTGAAACTAATGAAGAGAAAATTGGATAGTTGGTAATGACTAGAGTGCGCGGTGTTGCCATTCAGTGTGGGGAGGGAGGCGGCGCGGCGGGGCGAGCAGGTGGTTGGTGGCTGCTTCGCCCGGCATATTTGAACGTTACACAAAACTAGTTCACTGGCGCCATCACACAGACAGACAGAGAGATAGATAGATTATTCAGTAAAATTCGTGTAAACAGAGAGTGCTGGTACACAAACAATGTAAACAGACTGTACAGATATACATAGAGAGCCAATACAGATAAGCACACAACTGTTAATTTCCATCTTATGCTCTACAGGTTATCAATACACAACTTCATTTAGTCAATAAATTATGACCAAAAAAATTATTTATATTTACACACAAACCAATTTCTTCAGTGGTTATTGTGGTGGTGATTATGGGTGGTATGGTGGTGGTAAGTGTGGTTGTTGAAAAGGTAGTGGTTGTGGATGGTGGTGGTGGTTGAGAATGGTAGTGATAGTTTAGGGTGATAGTGCCCGTAGATGAGAGTATCAATGGTGGTGGTTGAGGATGGTAGTGGAGTGGTAATGATGGTGGTTGAGGATGAACATGGGTGGTATGGTGATGGTGGTAGTTGTGGTTAAGAAGATGGTGGTATTTGCCTGACCCCGGGGCCCATAATGGCAGGTTACCGGTCTGGTTGTGTAAGTATTGCCTCTCTACATGAGCTGTACACACACACACACACACCTAGACATGCATAAATCACTTTAAATACATATATACTGTACATACAAGTTACATATAAAACAAATACACAGAAATACATACACCTCACCAACACAGGTATACATATGTACACATAAGAAACACATATAACACCCACGTACACACACACACATTCGGGAAATGAAATTCGTGTTTACTTCAGTCTGCCTTTCAAATTTGGCGCCAATTAAGCAACACATCCATTCATCCCCACTGAAGCGGAAGTGACGTCATACCGAGCCGAAGATAATTACACCAATTATCCTACATCGTCAATATACACGATGACACTTACCGTATATTTACTTAATTAATTTTACACAAGAACTAAATTTTACATATTTTGTTTTTTTACGATTAACTTTTGCTTTTATTTTAATAATTTTAATGATTCTTTCAGCTTTTATTTTCTTATTCATTAACTCGACCGTTTAATTTATATATTTATTCTTAATTAAATATCCTCAAATGACATAACTTAATTCTTTACTTTGATTTATTATAGTCATCATTATTTCACTTTTCTATACTTAATTACTACTAATAAATCAACTATTTTAACTATATATTCCCTCCTCATTCACACACAAGGCAACGAAGAATGATAAAGACTAACAGACCAGACGACGAGCATTCCTGTCTCCATTAGACGATGTATTGACGTAACGGGTCAGGAAATGGCGGCAAAAAGACAACAAGAATATAATAGTTTCCGGGCGGCGGTCGAGTGGATGGATTTTAAAGTGGTTTGGTCAACTCGCTATTCAATCGTCCATTCAGTTTCTAGAATTGATGACGTGTGTGTGTGTGGGGGGGTGGGGGTTTCAACACTGCTGCCACGTCCCTACACACACACACACACAAACTTGTAATACACACACATACACCCCTAAAACATACACATATATATACGCACACACACATGATCAAATGTCTGTCCGTCTGTTACTGTCTGTCTCAATCTATGTTCCTGTCTATCCATCTATGATCCTGTCTGTTATTGTCTATCTGTATGCGTCTGCTACTGTCCATCTATCTGTCTATGCCTTTCTACCTTTCTCAGTTCCTGTCTGTCTGTCTTCAAACACGTACAGTACACGGTCGAGATAGGCTTATATACTATAAATACATGAATGCGGATATGCTCTCAAAACCAGACACGGAAAACACACACACACACGCACACACGCACACACACACCAGTCTGTGTCAGTCAGCTGTGTCACCAGACATCAAAGGCTCCTTATTACCCATCCCCCCCTCACTCTCCCCCTTACCCTCCCTCACCATCCCCCTTCACCCTCCTTTACTCCTCTCCACCCACCAACCTCCCTCAGTCTCTCCCTCACCACCCGACATTAATTATCTCCCTTACTCATCTCCTTCACTGCCCTCCCTTACCTCCCTCATTCTCTCCCTCACCACCCTCAAGTTTTTCTTCCCATGAGAGAGAGAGAGAGAGAGAGAGAGAGAGAGTATGGAAGGAAGGAAGGAGAATGTAGGAGAGGATGAGAATGGGATAATGGAAGGAGAGGATTGGTTGGGAAAAGGGGGTAGGTATGGGGGTGACGTGACCCTTGACCAAGACCCCATTATTAACTCCCCTTCCTTTCCGCCTCAGTTGGTGGGGGGTGGAAGAGGAAGGAGAGGGGGCAAATGGACGAGAAAAGGATAGTGGGTGGAGAGGATGGACAGAGGAAAGGGTAGTGGATAGAAGTGCATGGTAGAGAAGATGAGATGGATGAGACGAGGAAGGGAGGGGGCAGTACGTGACCCATGATCGTGTATGGATGTCGGCTCCCCTCCCCTCCCTCCCTCCTTGTCTATGAAGCGTGACTTTCCCCTACTCAGTTCTACTCACTGCCACCCCCTCCCTCCCCGTGTGTGCGTGCGCGCGCGTAAATATGTCCGCATAAATGAGGAACAAGAATGAAGGAACTAGGAAGATGGAGGTGGAAGTGTCTGGCGTATGAGGTGAGTCACGTGCGGAGTTTAAGCGACCGACAATCAGCTGACACACCCAAACAATGCATCAGCTGACAGGCACAACACACTCCACCCGCCTCCCCTCACCCCGTCGCTACCAGGCGGCCCCACGGAGGACGTTCATTACTACCAAGAATATGTTTGAATCATAATACTTTTGTCTTGTTAATTATACTGTATGAAGGATATACTTATACACCGATAAAAAAAGATTTAAATTACAGTAAGTGCATAATGGTGGAGAATCAGACAACAATTGGTGATCCATCAACACAGTGTTAGTGATAATGACACTCTCCAGGTGGCGCTGTGTGGGTCATCACACACACGCAAGCTTACCCATATGATACTACCACTACCAATAAATAATAAATATAACCCAACAAAAACTCAAAATATAAAATAATAAAACAAAACATTTAACTAAACACACTTTTCTGAGTTCAGTTTGGCTCACTTGGGTCACGTCAGCCATCAGTCTCACACATTGGCGAAAGTAAACAAACAGTAGGTCGCTGTAACTCGCAAGCGTTTAAATATGTTTCTAATTTACGTTTTAACTTTATAAACCAATCCTTAGCCACCTGAATATGACTAAAAACACTAAAATAAATGAAAATACTAAAACTCACGTCAATACTCAAACCACAGACCCCATTTCTTAACATACACCATCGCTTGTAACTTCCCCCAGCGACCACAACTCCTGACAGTATTAACCATTACAGTGTGTGATGGTAACAGCAGAGGGTAACCGTGGCAGGTGGAGGAGGAGGAGTAGGCCGCGGTTGTCTGGAGGTTTAATGGACTATTGTTGGTGTACACAGCTGACTGACAGACAGGGGTGAAATAATTGCTTCGTCATTCAGGTTAATTTGGGCAACTATGATACAATTAAGAACGAAGGAGACACCATGACAAGAGAAATGAAGAGGAAGGAAAGAAAGAAAGATGAGATAAATAGAAAGAAAGAGAGAGAGAGAGAGAGCAACCATGCATGACCAGCAGCATCAAAACAAGTCACGACACACCACGGAGTAATAAGACATCTGAATCATACTCAATCTATATACAGTTAATGGGTACAGTAAATCCCTCATGTAAGCCTCACAGTGGCCTCATAAGACTCATTAACATACATACTGTGATAATGGGTGTATTAATATCCAAGAAATACAACACAGGTTCACTATCACTCTATACTCCGACAGGTTCTTT